CCTGAGGATTTTTCCTTTATTTAACCTACTAAAGTAATTATTTTTTTGGAAGAATATCATTGGAAGTTGGGTTAGTTTTGGTGTAAATTCTTATTTCAATATATACTTGTTTAACAATTTTCGATTAATTACGCTCTAATAGGTTTGTAGAGGGAAAGTTATTAGTTATTTACTTTCTGAAGTTTCCTTTTTTTCTTTGTAAATATAAACAAGGTATTTTTTTTTACAGTCGAATGTAATGAAAAATTTACTTGTTATACAGATTTTATTATTTAAGTCAATTATTGAAACAGGTTTTGTCTCTTCCCCTTTTTTTTATTGCTTGCCAGACGTAACTATGTCCCTTGTTCTTATAAAAAGGTTGTAGAAGTGACATTGAACGAACGTCGACTGCAAGTCTTGTATAGAGATACTGATGAAATATTGTCGCTTGTGTAATCGAGTCACAACATAAAGGCAAGATGAGTAAGAAATAGCAAATCGATGGATTATTTTTCTTCCATCTCTTCTTCTCCCTCTCTTACTGTATCTTTCTCTTCTTCTCACTTCCTATGTTTCATTCACGCTGGCTCTTTTTATCTTGTATTTCTCCTCGGGAACAGATACCTCTAAAACAAAAGTATAAAAGAAAACAAACGTTTGAAAGCAAAGATTTTCTAATAAATTTCAATATAAACATAAAGTATTTAAATCGTAAATTTCGATTGAATAGAGCTTAAGCCTCTTTGACAGTTTTTCTTTAACAAAAGAAGATGATATAACGTTGTCGCTTACATAAGAAAGCCAATCTGTTGTGGCCAAGTGTTTAGCAGGGGGTATATAGAAGAGGTTTGTGTGAGGTTAAGAAAAGGAGATTTAAAATGCAAAAGGTATGAAAAGCAGGTTAGAGGCGGTACTATTAAATAGCCAAAGGGTTATGATTGTATCAAGTGTGCCCTGGCATGATGGAGGAAAAGCTCTACAACGTTAACACTTTATTGTCGTGACAAACGTTAAGAAGGTAGATATTTTTCATGAAGTTGAAATGGCACCTGCTCGAAATTAAAGCTCTTATATTATGTATCGTTAGTGGTATTCAAATTTCAGATAGCTCTGAAAATGAATGTCTCTAATAACGTTTTCCCATCAAACAATAATAGTATGTGTAATTGACATCAACCATTTTACATAATCAGAGTAAGTCCGGTACTATAGCGTAGTCTGTCACGTGACCTAGATGAAATAAAATAAAAAGGCACCCGAGCCCGTATATCTCCCGCCCGGTTACTTTCTAAAGAATGGTAATAATAGAACTGAAAAGGGGCTCTATCCATTTTCATAGTACTGTATATTTTAAAATTTTGACTGTAGCTAAAAAGGGAAACAGTTGGTTTGAAAATCCTCCGGAAGTAGAAGCCCGTACAAAACGGGAAGGAGTATTAATATTTATTACCGTTTTTTGGTTTCTTCTATTAAGAAAGAGTGGCGTTAAAAGGGTGTTGGTGGGGGGAAGGGGGTGGGGATTGGAGAAAAGAAAACGCCGCCAACAGCCCCATTTATCCACCATGACTGATGCGACACGGTCAGTTACAAAAAGGAATCACGTGACCCGACTCAGTAAGTTTCATGACAAATCCTTCTCTATCAAAGTAGACCAATTGAAATTTGATCAATTGCTCAATCAAAAAAGGTTGAGCAATTTATTTAATTCACACTACACTACAATTCACTGACAAAAGGGTAATACCTTGAAACAAGGAGGTAAAGTTTGACGTTAATTTAACCTTACGCTTACTTTATGCATCTACTGTATACTGGTGTGAGGGGCGCAAAAAGAAAATTTCCCATCAAGAGGTTAGGGACGTCCCACTTAGCATCTTCCATCCCCCGAAGGTAGATATTTTTCAGTTTTGAGGAATAGGGGAGAGAGAAGCGATATAAGAGAAGTAGAGGTGGAAGGATAAGAAGTGCTGCTGGTAATTGATAGTTTCGGCGTTGACGCGTTGCGGAAGGGGGAGGCAAAAGGGCCACGGCTTTTGCAGTCTACTGCGAAATTATACGTACCGACTAAGCTCTAGCCTGCAACACTCTAAGCCGCTTTTCTAGACGACTGCAATTTGCCGGCTGCCAAAGTAATTTCGTCTAGTCGACGAACGGCGCGCGTAATCGATCTTGTTTCATTCGCCTTGAGGCGAGTTTAACGCAATAATAAACTTGTCTAAACTAGCGATGATGTACGACTGTTACCGTATTATAAAATAGAATGAATATATAAAGCTTGTTAAAGGAAGGGGGTGTTATTGGTGGGGGCGGTGAAGGGGTGAGAGGAGTGGGGGGGGGGAATGTATAGTTGCACTCGACTCTTTTTGTTAGAGGAGTCGTTCGGTTAACAAAGGAAAAAGTCATTCGGAGTAATGGCGTCAGTAATCCTTGCAGGTACGCATACTGCGTTTTTTTTACAAGCCGCTTCACTTTCTGTCAAGTTTTACACCGTAGCTGTAGTGTAACGTTATATAGCCTTCGTCAACGACGCTGTAATCAATCTATCCGGGGGTTTTTTATTGAATTGTCAGAGATTCAGTATTTTTCGCTTAGCCATCAGGCCTTGTAAAATAGTCTAAAGAAGATAAATTCCACTAAATTAAATTCCTTTCCAAATATTAATTGGCATTTTTTAAAAGTAAAATTCAATAAATATTAATTGTTATGGAAAAAATATGAAATTTTTCATCATATCATCAGATATTTATAAACTTTATGTAATATATTTAATACTTTATTAAGTAGTATTTGTTCTGATATATAGATTATCTTCCCAGTTTATTAATTAATATTTTCATATGTAATTTATTAGTTGTAAATCTGGAAAATTAGGAGAATACAATGTAAGTAAAAACTCTTCAATCAACAATCGACGAATCAATTAACCGGAAAGAATTTAATTTTCCCTCTCTCTTCCACTTTTTTTTTTACTCCTATATCCTATCCTTCTTCTCCTACTTCGTCATTACATGTTTTTATATATTTGTTTTTTATTCTATATCACATATATTCCCTTTTAAATTAAAAATAAACAGATTTCCTGTAATTTTTGATCCTAGTTGAAATTTAATACCAAGGTTGTGCGTATCGCTGGTATAAGTATACATATAGGCCTAAACGTTAGTAGGGAATATTTGATAGACGAACTAGGTTTAAACGAATATTATACAGTTTAGTTAAAGGATCATAAAAGTCAATTTTTTTAAGAGTATTCGATTGTTCTTCGATTAGGCCTATTAAAGTAAATATTTTAGATTTTTTTCATCTTGTTCACTTATTTATTAAAGTTAACAAACAGAATCAGCAAAAGTAATATTGAAAAGAAAAAAGCACTTGTATTTCAATTGCATAATCAAACTATATACTTTTATTGAACTCTTCGTATTAATCAATCAACAGCTGCAAGAAGCGATTTGGAATTTTCTTTTTCTCGTTTGACAGTTAAATTACAAAGTAGTTGGAAGACATACTTGACGAATTGATACAAACATTCACTTGTATACCTAAAAGATCTAATAAAAGGGGACAAAGTGGAGAAATCAGAAACAAGAATCTTGGCCGTGTTTTTATCATGTTAATTAGCATCTTGTTAAGGAATTTCGGGGAGAGAAAAGAAGCGAATTTTTACAGGACTATCTAAGGAATTTATCATGCATAATAATACGGCCGATTGCACAATCCATAAACTAGCCAATCAACGGCCGATTAGCAGATAAAATTCTGTTACTGGAGTAACGACATTACAAAATATATCTGTATATTTATATACGAAAGCATTGTATAAGATAATATAACTGCATATTTACAGTATATATATATATATGATTTATCTATATATATACTATGTATGTGAATTATGTAATATATGGTTAATAACACAGTATTATACTTTCTAAGAATCAGAGCCCAAGTTTTTGTCACAATCTGTCTAAACGCTGACAGAAAAGAGGAGAATTCATGGAGATTGCATTGATCAGCAAGAGAAACATATCCATTATATTCTAAGAAGTAGAAATTGCTCTTGATGACTTAGATATTGGATATAATGTTGCCGTTCAAACACGCAATTGGGGACACAGCTCTGTCTGATTAGACAAATCTGTATTATATTCTTCTAAGAATGAAATTCAATAAGAGCACAAACTTGTGCGAATGCAAATATAAATGATAGAGAACCATAAGTTATATGACTATTAATATATGTTGTAGATTGTATAGAATAAGTAATTGAATAGACAAAAGTATGATGTTTGATTCAACAAGTATTAGAATTCAAACGCAATATTGAATTGGCAGTTTGCAATATCCAGGAATACAAGCACTTAATCTTTGTTCATCCTTATTCCGTTCATATACAAAGTGTATACATACATATATAGATACGTCTATATAATAACTATACATAGATGCATACGTCTATATTGAACATACAGGTATATATATTGTTTATCTATTAATACATGTAATATTCATGTATATCAAATTATAAGTGAATGTTTGTTTCATGAATATAGAATTTAAATAAAATAACTGGCAACCGTTCATTACTTTTTAACAAATTAGCATTTTCCGTGAGGACAAAGTACAGATACATACAAGATTATCTGTAAAATTTATCATGCATGCACAGTACAGTGTCAGTTTTTATGAACGATCCCTTATGAAAAATGCATCGGTTCGTCAGTTTACGATATAATCGACAATCGGGCGGTAATGCCACACCATTCTTGACGATTTTCTCACCACTTTACAACTATTTCCTTTGACGACCTCAGCACGCGATTGTTTTGACTTCTTTCTTAACTCTTTCTCCTTCTCTCTCTCCCTCCCTCTTCTCTCGATTAAAGTCTTCTGTATGAACATCTGCCGTCCGTTGTGCTAAAAAAAATAATGACAGGGCCAAAAGCCGACACCCCTTATTTGAGGCGGCCACCCCTCGGGAAAATCTCTTCAAATCGACTCGTCCACTCGGCTCCTTTCAGTCGGCCACCGACAGCTGATGGGATTAAGTGTAGTTTTTAGTGAACACTGTTTAGAGAACTGTATCGGACAGGTTGGAGGAAACGAAAGGAAGAAAATTATCTGATAACAATCTCACTATTCTCTCTCTCTCTTCCAAATATCAGCAGACGAAGCGACACTTTATACCGTTTTTTTAAAAATTGTTTTAATAGTTCTTCAATAGTTTTATGATAAATTTTTTTTATTTTACTACTTCGTTACTATGCGGATGTAAAATACTATCAACTAGAACAACAACAACAACAACTAAAAGGGAAAATAAAAGAGGAGAATATAAAGTTTTACTTTTATAGAGAATAAAAGAAAAGCTACCCATAAAAAGGGAGATTTTCAACAATTAATAGAAGATAAAAAAGAAAGAGGAGAAGAAGGAGTAGAAGGAAGAAGGAAGAAGTAAAAAATAATAAAAATAACAACAAACAAAATTATAAAAAACAATAAATGGCGAGGATAGTACAAATTTTTTGGGCTGTTTGCGCATGCGTTCTAATTAGGCCTAATTTCTGCCTGAACGAACAGAAGTATGGTAAGTCAAGATTTTTTCATACTTTATATTAAAGTTAATTAAAAAAAAAAAGGAAAAAAAAAAAAAACCAGCAGAAAGTACACAGTAAAGTAAACCATATTCGTAGAGTTAGTCTGTGTTTTCTGTGTACGTAAGAGTTCGTTTTTATCTTGTATTATACTTTTTTAAAGTTTACCAAGTACTTTTTTAGTATTTCGCGCCAAACAGTGTTTTACTCTTTTTTTTGTTATCTCTTATTGATATTTGTTCAAATGGAGAGTATCACTTAACTTATATAACTATAACAATAACTAATAGTTAAGAACTTTAAACACTATTTCAATTCGAGTACTTGAATAATTTATTCATATATCTAAGAGTGTAGTAGTTTATTGTGTTTTTTCTTCTCTTTTTGAAGATTACCGCTAAATAGACAAGGAAACATTTAACGATCCATAATCGACAAATTTCTTCTGTCTATCCTTTTCTTATGAGAAAAGAGAGAAGAAGAAAAAACCTCTTATTTTTCTTCTCTTTTTTATATTTTATATATACTTGTTATATTTATATAACAGTTTTATTTATTGCTATTGATTTATTAGCTGTTATAAAGTTTTTTTAAGACATTTTAATTAACATCCCTCATTGTATCAAGTACAAGAGGTTTGGAAAAAAAACCTTATTAACTACACAATTAAATTGTGCAACATTACTGAAAGCCGTTTAGGCTTCAATCATCTTTCATTTAGTGGAATTCTCCTACCAGACTATAACCTTTCTTTCGCTCTCCTCTTCTCTCTTTTAGCATTTGCTAAACTGTCTTAAACATTTTTACATTTTTCTCCGCCAACTTTTCTACCCAATTCCACCTGCTTAACACTCGGCTCTTTCTTCTTTCTTCTCAAACTTATTTATTTTGTTTAACAAGAAGTAGAAAAGGGAAAATTACTTTTAAGAATCGATCGTTCTCGCAAACAATAGAAGGTGATACATCTTAATAAATATGTAAACTCTTACAAGGATTTATCGGCCCGAAAGTATACGTTAGGGGGTTACCATGACAATTTGAAACTGACCAGACACTGTCACAGCGTTCGTTTACATATACAATCCGTAATACGATGCATAAATATTCAACATACGCGCGTCATTGATTAGTAGTGCAGTATTGCAGTTGCGTGCGATTGTCAGCCCAACCTCGTGCCGTGCGAGGTAATTAATTTAGCCTATGTTTGTTTTTTCTTAAAAAATTTTTTCACCACTTTAGAACTCTTGTTAGGAAAGAAACACGGTCGTTTATCAGTAATTAATTAGAAATCGATAAGGGCGACGGTAGTAGGGAATAAAGGGGAATGAGTGAAAAAAACGCCGCCGTCACATCAATCGTCGTTACCAAAGCAACGCTAAAACATTCTTAAGTCTTTGCAGTCGGTCTAGAATGCTAGAGTGGATTCGTTAATAAGACTATAGCCCTATTATTTATTTTTCTGGGTATTATAATCGTAAACAACAGTTATTTTATAGTCCAATCATAATCCAGCAAAAAAAAAAATCTTTTCATTTTTCCAATCCTGAATGTTTTTCTCTAATTTAAAAGAAAATCGGTTGACTCGTTTTTTATAAATAAGATAATTATTAGTTTTTTCATTCGGAGGCGTAAACCGTGCAAATGCAATCCTACACTACGCAATATTAAGAAAAACGAAATTGTATAAGAGCTGTCCTAAACGTTCAAGTGTTTAAAATAATATTATTCATTTATAATTATTATTCAATATTCTATTGATAGAATAACAATAATAGTAATAATAACATTAAACTATATCAAGAGAAAAAGTTATTTAAACATGAACGTACTATTTCTCTTTCTAAATAGAGAAAAAAAAAGACTAATTGTTTCCTTCTTAAGCCTTTGAAAGTTGGTAGAAGAGGAGAAAACATTTCTATTTCGTTTTGCTTAAATAAAAAACCAACTTCCTCCCTCTCCTCCTCATCATAATCATCTCTTCTTTCGCCCCCTTCCTCCCTTCCGTGAAAAATTTAAAAACAAACTCTCAATCCATAAATCCACAATATAGAAATATATATATATATTTAAGGTTTTTTAATTGCCTATACAAATTTAAAATAGTTGTTTAAGGTAAAAATATTATTATAGGTTTAAGAATATATACAAAAAAGTTTTTATTAATGTTTTCTTAGTAAAAAAAAGAAAATTTATATTCTATTATATTCTATATTATTTAATAAAACAATGATTAAGAAAAGGAAAAACTTAAATATAATTCAATATTTATTCTATTTACCTTTATATATTAATCGAGTAGTATCTTTAAATACCTTGTATATACTGTATATATTATATTTTTTTGTATATGCTATTTATAGAATTTATATATATATAATGATTTATGTAGGAAGAGGATACCATATAGGCATGTAGTTTTTCCATATTTAAACATAGGCATGACTAAATTGGACCGGATATTAAAAGTGTTGGCTATAGCGGTATGTAGTATAATAGGTTTTTTTTTTTTAAAATAATACAATATATGTGCCACATTATTTGCCACATTTTATTGATATGTTTTTAGTTAGTTTGTCTTGATATCATCCCTTGGCATTTAGCATAAGTAGACGTGTAACGAATCCAGTATAGAGCAAAAAAAAACTATCTTACTCTTGCTACTCACTTCATCAGTCCGTCATCCCTTAATAGTGCAGTAAGGTATCAATTTTATTACGTTCTGACATTAATTTACTTCTATCAGGTATTCATAGAAGGTAGATGCAACCCTTTAATTTTCTAGGAAGTCTAGGTTACGTATTACATAATCATTTCTAAATAAATCATTGCAATGGCCTAATTCTACCAATAAGTTGGCGAAAATGGCAGAATGAAGCTGGTGATTAATAAAGGCTTTAGATCGGATTACCGCTTTACTTTAATTATTACAAAAATATGAAAGATTTAGTGTTAATACCCGAAAAAATCGAATATGAGGGAATAAATTATTATATAAGTGTATACATACAAAACGCTATCTAATCCCTTGATAAACACTGTCGATTATTTTTGATATTTTATCCCTATTGTTGACACTTGACATTTTCCAAGCTTCAATTTATTTATTGATTTTATACTACTTTTGGCATCTGTCAATTTTAATACGTCTATTATTATCGCCAAAAAAATAACCATCTGCCGCCATTTTTGTACCGGGGGGAGGCATCTTCGAGAAACGGTATGGATACGTTGAAAATGGAAGAGAATGGGTAACAAAAAGGGAAAGAGAGAGAGTATAAAGGTGGTAATAGGAAAAAAGGAAAATTTCAAGAAAAGAATAAAGAGAAAAAGTCTAGTGCATTTCTCATTGACGAAACGCTGAAAATGAGAGAGATTCTAAGCATTGATAGTGTTTCTTCCAAATTGATGGCGTTAGGCGTTATTTTTTTTTCTATTTTTTATCGCCCAGTTCTTTATGCCTAAATCCTTATTGTTTATTCCCTATTACTTTTTCAATCTGTTGACTCAGCTATACGAAAATATAGATCTAAACTCCAAGCGTTTCCTTCTAAACTTGCAAATTTTTGCGTGATCTGCCTATTATCCATCAATATTTTAGCTCTACCGAATTGTCAGTCGTTTTCATTAGCGCACGTTGGTAGGGCAGCTTTTTATTCGTGTTTAGACAGGCTGTATTGGGTGTAAGTTTTGTTTGTCAGATTTCATTCTGTATATTTCACTAGTATTGTTTACTGGAGCGTTCAACCGTCTGGAGGAAAGTCTATACGTTAAGCAGATATTTACTTTTAATTGCCTAATGAAAGCCGTACACGCGTTTCCAAAGAGAAGAATAAAGGAGAATGGAAAGGCGATCTCCTGTTCTTTTATGTTATCTATTGTCTAAACTACTAAACGCTTTAGAAAAACGATGAGAACAGTTGAATCAATTAATCGAATAGGAACAGGGAAAGAGAAAGAGAGAACGATATTCGCTCTAAATTTAATATCAGATCGGATTACGGGCGAAAATTTGTACAATAGAGAAAAAATCGAACAAGCTCGAAAATATATTTTCGTTCTGTCTATTTATATATATATATGTATATTGTGGTACAAAGATTAACCCCAGTATAACCTTCTAAACCATCTGCACAAGGCTAAGAAAAAGAAACAATCCAGTAGAAACGTAAAATATAAGTGTTAAGATGTTTTGATACAAGTTTTCTACAGGGATTATCTTGTCAAATTCGACATTTCTGAACATCTTGGATAAATTATAAAGAAATGAAAGACATATAGCTAACAAGGAATAATTCCTGTAATTAAGCTAATCACGACAGTCACGAATTGTTTTCAGCCTACGCGATATATGAGTATAAGCCGATGGGGGAAAACGAAATTGTCAGCCAATAAATTGGCCTATTCGACCTGTTGCCTGCTTGGATAAGCCGTTTTTGCTGGGGCCCATCATCTTAGATGAGTTTCAGGCCTATGTTGGCCCTAATTGGCCTAGAAGGTAACCAATGGTCGAAAATGTTAGTAGAGTCTTCAAGCGCAGCAGAAAGGGTGTTGAAAAGGTGAAGACGCGAGATAATAAATGATGCTAGCTGGTAGTGTCAGATATTACATGAAGATAAAGAGCAAATGGCGTCCATGCGCCCAAAAAGCAGTTAAACTAACCACGCACTTACGAATACGCCCGAAATTCGCGTTAAAAATAGCACATGGCTTATTTATGCACAGATCAGTCGCCGTTAATGCCTTAATTAAGTCTCGTTACGTAATACACACCTGCTGCTGACTGACTGGCATTAGTTTTTGTGGCATTAAGCTGTTTGCCCTTGTTTGCAAACAAACTTCACAGTTTTACCCTTCATTTTAGTCTTTTTTACCCTTCTTAAAGATTCTTCAGAAACCTTTTAAACCAGTATGATTACCATCTTAATCACTTCAACTTAATCTCCGCCTAAATTATTCGTTGATGAATTTTATGGGAGAAATAAATAAGAAAAAA